CAACGCTGCTTTACCCCACATACGCACGACCGGAAGGAGCGGAAGCGGTCGACTGTGGCATAATAAAAGCTCCGCTGCTTTCCAGCCGTGTGTCGCGCTCGTTCAGCGGCCTCGTCTCGCTTCGACGGCTTTCAGCCTCACCCTGCTTCATTCTACTACGTTAATAAATCATTAGCTCATCCATGAACATGATTTCTGCCCGAGTCCCGTCGGATTGCATCGGCTGTGGGGATGAAGACCACAACTCCCATGATTCCACACTCAGTCACATCAAACTACGCCTGTGTCTCTTTGTTTATTTTGAATACGCGCCCTCTAGTGGCGAAAATTACATATTGTGCCTTTACCCGGGAAGCCACTTAAACCTACTTCATGAGACTGGCCTCTATGTTATTTCATTTAATAATAAAAAAAAAAAATGAATACCAGAAAAAAAATCTTTAACTTTGCAATAATTTATTTACTTTCTACCAAAAATGCAAACAATTAAAAATCTATATGACCCTTTTCACATCATCATAGTTGGGTAAACTTGCATACTGGTGAATGGAAACTGCAGCAAATATGATTTTTTTTTGCATTTCCCATTTGCCCCAATGGCAAAAGAGAAAACCCACAGAAACGTTTCTATGACTTGCCAAAATCCAAAAATATTCAGAGATTGATTACATGAGAAGAAGAGAGAAAGATGTCAAATTTGCCAGTTGTATTTGAAAGACTCACGCAGCAGCAGCGTTAACCAGTTTTATGTAATTTAGTGCCACGGTAATAAAACACAAAACATTGTGTTATAAATGTGCATGAAATAATTTAGAAGTCAAAATTAAAAAATCTTTGCTACATTTACAATTTTAATAAGTGTGGAAATGCGTAGTCACGGTCTGTCAAAAGGGTCCATTACAAAAGTGTTGAATTATTACTTTAATAAACATTACAGGCATTATTTAAAATGATTAATATTTGAGTGCCTCTTGCGTCGGTACAAGCGGCGCACTAAATCTCACCTTGCTCGCACCCGGTAACAGATGAAGCTTAACATAAGGATCTGCCAGTCCATTCGAATCCATCGGCTTCAAACCCTTCAAGAAAATATTACAATAACTTAAAATTCTGTCACAACACAGCATTCAAGCACAGTGCAATATTACTAAAATAACATTTCAAATTCTGCCTATTTAAGAGTAGGCACAACTATGCACATTCAAATTGACTTTGATTGTCATTATGGCCTATGAAGAGTGTTAGGCTCTTAAACTAAATATCAGCACAATAACACTCATCTAAATTAAATTCAAGGATCAGAACTAACTGTTGCATGGTAATAATTGCATATCTCAATAATATTACAACATAGTTAGCCCACAAATACAATAGGCAAGAATATAATGTTCCTAAGATACTAGATTATTGTCTAACAATACTTGTATACTTCTTTTTGTTTGTGTGTAAGACTTTTAATATTAAGATATACCTTCGCTCTAATAATGCTGCAGTGGAGGCTGTTGTTCCCTTGGTCATACAGTAAAGTGAACTCTAGTGATCCCAGAGTTGCTGAAACAAATGCAATATATTGCATTAGGCACAAGCATTTCATTAAGTTTGAATGCATGAGTAGCAGAATCTAATCTAACAGGTCTACATTTCAGTGAATGCTATACATAATTATGTTGCTGCTCTCTGTTGCACTTCATTTAATTGAAACACACACACACCCACACACTTAAGTATTTCAAGTTTAATGTAACAGTGACATTGCCAAATCCAAGTTATAACATGGAAAAATCCTTTCAACCATACATAGCATTTTTTGTGATCACCTACACTTATATTTTAAATATGTTGTAAACAGCACAGTTTAAGGACATATAGTTAGCAGTCTGTTTAGGCGAAGGCCTGTGGAATGCCAAATCTGCAAAAAATAATAAGTAAATAAACATATAAATATACAAAGAAATTAACAATAAATAAATAAATAAATATACAAAGCAATTGTAAAAATCAAAATAAATAAATACACAATCATCCAAAGAAATGTAAACAAAACAAAAATAAATATAAACATAATTAAATATACAAAGAAATGTAAAAAACTAAAATAAATGAAAACATAATTAAGTATACAATGAAATGTAAACAAAACAAAATAAATACACACATAATTAAATATACAAAGAAATGTTAAAAAACAAACATAAATACATAATTAATCATACAAAGAAATGTAAAAAAAACACTCAAATAAATACTTAAAACACAAAAAAGTTTTAAAAAATGAAATACATAAATATATAATTAAATATACAATGTAAAAAAATGCTTAAATAAATATACAAAAAATGTAATAAATAAATACATACCTAAATATACAAAGCAATTTAAAAAAAATAGTGCTGTGACATTTTCTCAAATGACTTGCACAGCATTTTATGCAATCAACAAAAAAAATTCAGATCAACAAATTCTGCATTAACTCTAAACTCTGCTTAATTATTTTTGGTGCTACACACCCTTAGTGATTAATGTGAGGATAGAATAAAACCTACAGGTGAACCGCACAGTACTGATTACAGTAGTTAACAACACAAAGGCCTCTTCTTTCCACCAACAATGAGAAAACTGACAGCGAGTCTCACAATGAATTGATGCATTCTCATTTTTAAAGCATGCTTCTGCTAGTCACAGACAAAGAGGATAAAGAAGTCAATGAAAAGCTGCTTACTTGCTTCATCGGAGTCATAGCTGTTGGCCTCCTCCTCGTCGTCCGCTGGCGGAGCGGCTCGAGGGCCGACAGCAGGCTTCTGCTCCTCTCTCTCTGCGGGATGGGCTCTCTCCTGCGCATGAGACGCAGTGCTAATGGATTGATAGGCTCCTCTCTCTGCCTCCTGAGCAGCTGATAGGAACAAAAGATCTCTTTAGATTCTGTTATATTAATAAATACTCCTAAATTGTATTGTATGTGCATCAAATCTTAAACGTGTAGTTGCATATAATATAATATTAATAAAAAAAATTAGGCCACTTAAGAGACTTGCACAAAACAAGAAATGCACCTACTGCATACTTGAAGCACATTCCTATGCAATACTATAAAGAAATAATGCATGTATTTGTGTGTATGTGCATGTTTGTTGTTACCCGGCTGGTATGTGCCTGATGGGACTGGTCTGGCCGCGTGGACGTTCACCGTCTTCTTCATCAGAACTGGGGTATTCTGGGAGCTTCCCGCATCTCCATCCTCCTCTGAGCAACTGCGAGATTGAAGATGAGCAGGTTTTGGAGCCACAGGTGGTTTTCGGGTGATCGGTGGATCCACTGCCGGCTCTGGAGCTTATACAACAAACACACAGGCTATAAACTACCAGTCAAACGTTTGGAATAATTATGATGTTTTCAATAAAGTCTCTTCTGCTCACCAAGGCTGCATTTATTTGATTAGTACAAACAGTAATATTGCGCAATATTATTGCAATTTAAAATAAGTGTTATCGATTGGTATATATATTGAAATGTAATTTATTCCTGTGATGTAAAGCTGAATTGTCAGCGTCATTACTCCAGTCTTCACAATCCTTCAGAAATCATTCTAATATGCTGACTAACATATTTTATATGTATGTGTTGCATAAAATTTATGTCACGTTTGCAGTTGTGCAAATATTCGGGAAAACAGCATTGTATGGTAATCCCTACATCATGTATTACAACCATACATTTTGGGGGAATTTTAATAATCTTGGTGGCATGTCTGTCCTAGTATAGTGTGACAAGTAAATGCATAGTTCACCCAAAAATGTACATTACTATGGTTTTAACTTCAAACCATTGCTTCCAGCTAAAATAAGAGTGCTCTATTCATAATAATGCTTCCTTCAGTGAAAAAGTTGTATCATATCAGGAAAGAAATCTGCACAAATATAGCACCGTTTACAAATAAAAACAGACCAAAACAGCTCTAAACAAATATGTAGGTGGATTTTGATGTGAGAGGACAACAGGAGATGGACTTTTCCACTGGAGGAAGCGTTATTATGGTTTATAGACTCATATTTTGGCCAGAAGTGACAGTGACTTAATGCATTAATGATGGATTTGTTTCTTACAAACACAACTTTTGACTTCTCAGGATGTTAACTGATGGACTGGAGTGGTGTGGATTACTTGTGGATTATTGTGATGTTTTTATCAGCTGTTTAGACTCTCATTCTGACGGCACCCATTCACTGCAGAGCACCCACTGGTGAACAAGTGATGCAATGCTACATTTCTCCAAATCTGATGAAGAAACAAACTCATCCTAATCTTGGACAGCCAGAGGGTGAGCACATTTTCAGCAATTTTTCATTTTTGGATGAACTACTCCTTTAAGTTTTCTGGGGTTGTAACATGAGGCAGTAACCAGTAGATGATGGAAAAGCTAAAATCACAGTTTGTCCAGCTCACCTGCGGCCGGTTCTTGAGATTGCACAGTCGCTGGAGGAGCTGCAGGGCTCTTCTTAGGACTGGGATCTCTGGCTCTGGAAATGGGCATCGGTGAGGGCAAGAACTGCTTAGGGAGACCTTTGAAGAACCAGGCTCCAGATCGCTTCCATACCTTTAATAGAAAAATAACGCAAGCAACATTTACAGACAGTTAGACTCCAGATCACGTTCTTGCGATGCTTGTTATTCCCCCACCTCTCTCTGCTCACTGCAGATCTTGCAGAGCCACACAGACCGCGGCCGAGCGTTCGCCTGCACTCCACACTTGGTGCACATGTTCTGAGGGGAACAACAGGACGTAGTTATGAAATCAGTTCATTAAAGACAGTAAAACAGTATTAGAAATAGTGAGCGGAATGAACTAAGCAGATTCATGTCGGATGAATAGAGCTTCTGCGGTGCTGACTATTGAAGATGTGCTTTAATGTTTCAGAATCAAATTCCATCAGCATTCCTTTTACTGTGTTAGTTATTTATTCATGAGTTTGGTGCATGTGCCAAATATATAGCAGTCTCACAAGAATTCAAATGTTCTAAATATGAGGTTTCATTTTATTTGGATTAGTTTCGCACCTTTTTACAGTCCTCACAAACCACTGGTCTGTCCCCTCCGGTTCCCAGCTGCTCTCCACATAAAAGGCAGAGCGACACTCCGTCCCCACAAACGGCTTTTTTCATGTTGTCCAGACGATTCACCAGACGTCTATCATCAATAAAACAGAGTGCACATTGGTCATTATGTTAACAAATGCAGTGCCCTCCACTTATATTGGCACTATGGTAAAACCTTTTCCATCTTTGATCCATATATATATATATATATGGATCAAAGATGGAAAAGGTTTTCAAGCATTAACACAATAAAAGTTTAACAAGCCTATAATTTTATTTGTTGGGGTTTTTTTGTTGTTGTTTTTTTTCATATGTGACCCTGGACCACAAAACCAGTCATAAGGGTCCATTTTTGGAAATTGAGGTGTATGCATCACCTGAAAGCTGAATAAATATCATTTTTTTTCCAGGATTAAAAAAAAAAAAAAAAAAGTCTTGCCAGGCAAATTTAGTAGAAGAATCATTAGATGGCATTAAAAGACTCTATTTAGGGATCAGTGCAGCTCTCAAAATAATAATTCGTTTTAAATCTTTACCCATCTTTGCCACTATCCTTCTAACCATAATTTTTTTACCCATTTGTCAACAAGAAGTTTAAAATATAGTAAAATATAATAATAATAATAACATATTAAATATAATACAATTTAATATGATCACTTTTTCTTTTATATATTTTAATAAGACCAGGTCAGAATAAGTATATTGTTTTATTTTTACATACACTGTTACACTGAATGACAATGGAACACATATTCTGACATTTTAATTTCACAAAATAATAATTTCCCAATCCCCTCTAGACATAAATATTTTCTTTCAATCATTGAAATATTTCAAACTTTTGATTTTTCTCAGGCTGGCCACACATGAAAATATTCAAATACATGCTTTATTTAACCTTAATGTATGTCAAGGCGGCGATGACAATCGATAAACATCCATAATCTCTCTCCTACCCAATCCTCTCTTGCTCCATTGCCTCCATTTTTTCGGCGCGGACGATGACGCTGTTGATGATCTCCTTCTCCTCATCAGTCAGCTCGGCACCGAGACACGGTCCAGACTGCACATGGACACCTTTCGTGCCCATCACCGCGTCTGTCATCGTGAAATCACTGGAACCTGAAGCAAACATGAATAACAGTAAAGTAAAAATAAAATAGCAACCCAAAGAAACAAATATATATTAGTGCAAAAAAATCCAACTTCCAAGCCATATCCGTTGCTTAAACCTATAATAATGATTTATGACCCTGGACCACAAAACCAGTCATAAGGGTCAATTTTTGGAAATTGAGATTTATGCATCATCTGAAAGCTGAATAAATAAGCTTTTCATTGATGTATGTTTTGTTAGGATATTTGGCCGAGATACAACTATTTGAAAATCTGGAATCTGAGGGTGCAAAAAAATCTAAATATTGAGAAAATCTCCTTTAAAGTTGTTCAAATTAAGTTCTTAGCAATGCATATTACTAATCAAAAATGAAGTTTTGATATATTTACGGTAGGAAATTTACAAAATATCTTCATGCAACATGATCTTTACTTAATGTCCTAATGATTTTTGGCATAAAAGAAAAATCAATAATTTTGACCCATACAATGTATTGTTGGCTATTGCTACAAATATACCCCAGCGACTTAAGACTGCTTTTGTGCTCCAGGGTCACATATATGTTTTCGAGCTGCCGGGACATTGCACACATAACCCACAGACCAAAGCAATCTTTATGCAGTTTTATTTTTCAACCACTAGAGAGCAAAAAGTTACAGAAAAGGTTAAATAAAATAAAATAAAATATATTGCACATTTGTATATTGTATATTATAAAACAATATGTTGAAATGAAAAAAAATTTTTTTAATTGAGATTAATTGGTCACAGTCATGTAATTAAATGTCAAATTGTACTGTGCCTTAATCATATAATCAAACGATTAATTTTTGTAACATGCTTATTAACATTTTAACAAGAAGCAAGGGTATATGCTGGTTGAAGTCGTCTTGTGTGTTTTATAATAAATGCAATAAAAATACATACAATCAAAGAAAAGATTATGAAATGCATGCATTATTTTATCACTGTATTGTTCACAGGTGAAGTGCAATAGTTGCAATGCAACTATCATGATTATGGATTACATAAACTGGCATCTAACATAACAAAACGGCACTTATCACTCAGTTTAGAGCTTTCAAATGTAACAAATACAGTGGGTACGCAAAGTATTCAGACCCCCTTAAATTTTTCACTCTTTGTTATATTGCAGCCATTTGCTAAAATCATTTAAGTTAATTTTTTTTCCTCATTAATGTACACACAGCACCCCATATTGACAGAAAAACACAGAATTGTTGACATTTTTGCAGATTTATTAAAAAAGAAAAACTGAAATATCACATGGTCCTAAGTATTCAGACCCTTTGCTGTGACACTCATATATTTAACTCAGGTGCTGTCCATTTCTTCTGATCATCCTTGAGATGGTTCTACACCTTCATTTGAGTCCAGCTGTGTTTGATTATACTGATTGGACTTGATTAGGAAAGCCACACACCTGTCTATATAAGACCTTACAGCTCACAGTGCATGTCAGAGCAAATGAGAAGCATGAGGTCAAAGGAACTGCCTGAAAAGCTCAGAGACAGAATTGTGGCAAGACACAGATCTGGCCAAGGTTACAAAAAAAAATCTGCTGCACTTAAGGTTCCTAAGAGCACAAGGTGCCTCCATAATCCTTAAATGGAAGACATTTGGGACGACCAGAACCCTTCCAATCGAGGGAAAGATGAATGCGGCCAAGTACAGGGATATCCTGGACAAAAACCTTCTCCAGAGTGCTCAGGACCTCAGACTGGGCCGAAGGTTTACCTTCCAACAAGACAATGACCCTAAGCACACAGCTAAAATAACGAAGGAGTGGCTTCACAACAACTCTGTGACTGTTCTTGAATGGCCCAGCCAGAGCCCTGACTTAAACCCAATTGAGCATCTCTGGAGAGACCTAAAAATGGCTGTCCACCAACGTTTACCATCCAACCTGACAGAACTGGAGAGGATCTGCAAGGAGGAATGGCAGAGGATCCCCAAATCCAGGTGTGAAAAACTTGTTGCATCTTTCCCAAAAAGACTCATGGCTGTATTAGATCAAAAGGGTGCTTATACTAAATACTGAGCAAAGGGTCTGAATACGTAGGACCATGTGATATTTCAGTTTTTATTTTTGAATAAATCTG